TAACCCTCGGTGATATCATCCGGGGCTTTCGGTGGTTTGCGCGGGGGTGGCTTCTGAGCCTTTGATTGCTTTTGGTGAACGTGAGCAGGCTGTGCTGCCCGTTCCAACATAGGCTTAGCCCTCTAGGGGTTTGCAGCAAACTACACCTATGGGTCATGAGGGATAAAGGCTACTAGTTTAAAACTAATAACCAATAGGTCCAGTTCCCTATCGTCTACCGGTGGACGTTCCTCGGACATCGTACAGATGAGATAATTAATAATATCTTGTAAATGCTAATGAACCGTGAGGAAAAAGTGCAAACCATTTTGGATTTGATTTACAACGTAGACGGTGCTAGCTCACCAATGAAGCTTACCGGTGTTTTCTCCTGCCGGTAAGTCTTCTCACGAGTCTCAAAGTCCGCGCGACCTTCTAGTGTCTCGTTGCCCGAGGTAGACAAAAACACTCGTGAGNCAGTGGCTGGATGCGGATACGATTCTTCCCGGTCACCGATATTCAATGCTCGAATTAGGAAATGTTTATTCATGATTTGGGAAAAGCTGCCTAGCTTGGAGTCGGCCTAAACGAAACCGGTGTTTACAGCCTGCCGGTAAGTCTTCTCACGAGTCTCAAAGTCCGCGCGACCTTCTAGTGTCTCGTTGCCCGAGGTAGACAAAAACACTCGTGAGAGTCGTAAACGTTTATTGGCGATTCGTGGTACTAGATAGTACCGAAACGTGCCGAAGTACGCTAAACAATGCAAGCAATAAATGCAGTAGCAAAGCGAAAGCGTGTCACACGTGTTGCATGGGTTTGAATAGGACCCAGTTTATATCTACACCCGAGCGGAAACGCTTTCTCGATAGAAGAAACAGAAGTAAAACAAAGAAATATCATAGTTGGAGTCAGAGTTGATTGTGAAGAAAATATGAACGGAAAACGTCCCCGTGGATTGCTCCTTTTCTGCGTACAATCATGGTCACCACGGGTCCTTTGGGACAGTTCATGGTGTGCATCCTCTTGCGGGTTACCTCCTCACGTTTCGGAGGCTGCATGCCCTTATTTGTGTTCTCTCTGAGGCCTTGGAACGCGTTTGGTCCTTTCGAACGGACCTGGGGAGATCGGTTCTTATGTGAGCTTCAGAGAATACGCCTAAGGTTTCTGCCGATGTGAGAAGTCTGCTTGTGTTACCGTCGGTGCCAAGGTTCAACTTAAGAAGCCTGGAGTGCTCTGCGTATTGGTAGCCCTGGATCCTCGCTAGTCGCCTGAGGCTTAGTGATTTCAGCTCAGGGAGTGACATGTCGGCACAGTTTTTGGAAAACTGTGCTATCGTGGATATCCCTCTCGGCCAGTGACGAAGGGTTGGAATCTGGTATGTCGAATACCATGACCGATCGGGTGCTAGGGCCACTCTGAATGGGCCTGGGCGTAGCAGTGCCCTTTTGGTGCACGGTTTCACACTCTGACGGAGGTTGCAGCATTGCCTTATGCGCACCGTTTCGGTGTGCCTGCTTGACCTTATCTTCTCTTCGTCTGCAACTTGGGGTGATGATCAGACGACCGATTTGCATCCCCACGCTAGTGTTTGTCCCTTTGCTAATGGTCTTTTTACCACCCTCGACCACCTCATTATGCATACTAGCCTCAGTAAAGTCTGCCGCCTTCTCAGTTTGCTAGTTCCGTTAGTAGCTGTCTACAACCCAGACAGTACCACTGCAGAAACTCGTGCTTGACCTGTAGCTTGTAGTCCCTACTGTCTGCTTTGCTGCAGACCTTATGGAACTAAGGCTTGCAGGCGTCGCATCTAATAAAGTTGTGGACGAGAGGCTTCGCGCACCTTGGATTGCCGCATGAAACTCTGGTTGAGGTGGCGGTGTTCGTCACATTGCTGACCTTCATTCTGTTCCCTCCAGAAACCATGATTTGAGAATTTATACGGAATTTATACGGAACCGTCTAAATTGGGGAGTTGTGAACAAATTGAGTAAATTGAATAAGAACCGAAATCAGAAGTAGGGATAAGAATAGGAATATAGATACAATAATAGTAGTAGGTAACTATACCTAAGACTAAAGACAAATGTAACAAAAATATAGCAAAACGGAACAACTTGAGTTCCGCGACGAGTTAAACTGAAAGGACACACGAATAATGAAGAGCGCTACAATAAACGTTAGAAAAATGCTACAATAACCTAAAAAGATAGACTTAACACCTATAAAGAAATGAATATGATCAAAAAGACAAATCACGTTCAGTGTTTAAACCGCGCGCGGAGCAGAACCTTCAGATATTCGAACGATAAAACACGTTTCACATTTCCCTTCAACCTTCTGCTCTAGTCAGACTAAGTTCTTCATACGTGTCCTTCATGAGACGCAGTTTCAATTTAGGCCCTTGCACTTGTTATACACTCCATAGCTCACATCGTATAGCCCACTGCAGTTGACGTGAAACCAAACGCAGCACGTGTTACATTGTAAACCTTCCTTCACTGCACCTAAACGGCACTTCGTGTTCCCACATTTACTCTCATTGTCTCTCTTGCGGGCGGGTTGAGGCCTGTTGGAGAACTTGGGGATCGCCACTCGGGCTACTTTCACCATTGATTATGTATCAACAGAAAAATATAGGAGTGAATAAAACTGAGAGCTAGGAGTGAGAAA